ATTATTCCTTCATTATATTTTTTAAACACTAATCCGAAACTAGATGTGCCTTTTAAGTACCTAAGTAGCCACTTAAGTGCTTCCCAATGTTCGGGACCAGGATTAGCCATAAACCTGCTTAAAGTGCTGATTGCAGGAGCCACATCAGGTCTAGTACAGACCATGGTATACATTATAGACCCTACAGCATTTGCATATGGAACCTTTTCCATATACCTTATATCAGATTCATTAACTGGGCATTGCTCTTTACTTAATTTGAAATGACTAGCTAGTGGTAAAGACACAGGTTTTGATTCATGCATGGAAAACTTAGATAAGACATTTTCTATGTAAGCTGATTGTGTCAAAATCAAAGTGGAGCTCTTTTTCTAAGTATATTCATTCCCAATATTCTTTTAGCATGCCCCAGATTTTTCATTTCAAACTCAGCCCCAAGTGTCTCTTTAATATTATTTATCTGTTTTAAATCAGGCCCAATTAACAGCATGTCATCAACATAAAGTAACAGAAAAATAGATATCAAAGAATTAGAATTTTCTTTAAAGTAAAGGCAATGATCATAAGAGCTTCTTACAAAACCAACAGTCATGACAAAATTATCAAACCTTTTATACCATTATCTAGGTGACTGTTTTAAACCATATAAGGATTTCTTAAGTAAGCACAAAAAATCAAACTTAGATTTATTCACAAAACCTTCAGGTTGTGACATATAAACTGTCTCATCTAAATCACCGTGTAAGAAAGCTGTTTTTACATCCATTTGTTCTAATTCCCAATTATGATGTGCAACTAATGCAAGTAGGACTCTAATAGTTGTGTATTTTACAACAGGTGAAAATATCTTATTGTAATCTACACCTTGTTTTTGTGTAAACCCTTTAACAACTAATCTTGCTTTAAATCTTACAGGCTCATTATCTGAACTGCCTTTTTTCACCTTGTAAATCCATTTACAGTCAACTATGGATTTATTTTTGGGTCTAGGCACGAGATCCCAAGTTTTATTTTTCATTAAAGAGTTCATCTCTTCTCTCATGGCAGCTTCCCACTTACCAGACTGGTTGCAACTCATGGCTTCATTATAGGTCTTGGGTTCCTTATAGGCTAAGTCATTATAAGACATGACAGAATAGGATAAATAGTCTTCATATCTTGTAGGTTCTCTAATGTTCCTTCTACGCCTATCCCTAGTCAATTGATAGTCACTAAGATTATTTTGTTGACTGGGATCAGTTATTTCAGTTTGTTCATGTTCCTGCACACTTGAATGTTCTAATTCAATCTGAGTTTGAGGTAGTATAGGTTCATCTTCTCCCATATTATTATTAGGAACAGAAACTGTTTGAGATCCCAACTCCACCTGAAACCTTGTCACACTTGGGTTTTCAGGGTCTGCAGACCTTTGTTTTTCAAAACAGGGCATCTCTTTCTCATTGGAGGTAACATCTCTACTTGTTATCATTTTATAGCCCCCATGACCTCTAGCCCATAACCTATAGCCTTTAATTCCTTCAGGATAACCTAAGAACACACATTTCTGAGCTCTTGGCTCCAATTTCCCCAAATTCTGGTGACAGTAAGCTGTACACCCAAAAATTTTAAGGTGGGAATAGTCTGGTAGTTTCCCAGACCACTTCTCTTCAGGTGTCTTTCCTTCCAAAGCACTAGATGGGGTTCTATTCACTATATATGTGGCTGTCATAACAGCCTCCCCCCACAACACCTTGGGAACTCCAGACCCCACCATCATGCACCTGACCTTATCCAACAAGGTCCTATTCATTCTCTCAGCCACCCCATTTTGTTGGGGAGTGTATGGGACAGTTTTGTGTCTTAAGATTCCATTTTGTTCACAAAATTTATCGAATTCTGAATTACAAAATTCAAGTCCATTATCAGTTCTTAAAATTTTGATCTCTGTTGACATTTGATTTTCAATAAGGACTTTCCAACTCTTAAATTTTTCAAAAGTTTCAGATTTGTGTTTTAATAGAAACACCCACACTTTTGTTGAAAAATCATCTATTATTGAGAGAAAATACTTATTTCCCCCTTGGGTAGTTGTGGAGGCTGGACCCCACAAATTAGAATGGACATATTCCAATGGGGAAGTAGATTTATGCTTCCCAGAATCAAAATGGAGTCTGTGATGTTTGCCTAAAGTACAGCTTTCACAAAAGGGTATTTTTGATATTTGGTCCTTACCAAATGCCCCCCCTTTATGTAGGATTGTAAGATCTTTTTCACCAACATGTGCAAGCCTTTTATGCCATTTTAGGGTGGAATCAGATTCAGTGTTAGAAACAGTAACATTATTTCCAAGTACTGTTTCAACTTTAACTACATATATTCCATTTTTCTTTATACCCTTAAAGATGATAAGAGATCTCTTGATCACTTTCATCAACCCATCTCCAATCCTACCACACATCCCTAGGTCATCTAATTCTCCCATAGAAATTAGATTCCTTTTGAGTTCAGGTACAAATCTCACTCTCTCTAGGGTATACTTGTATCCATTTTCAAATTTTAGGGTCACATTACCTAAGCCTTCAACCTTGCAGGCAATGTTATTCCCCATAACCACTTCACCACCTCCTACCTTTTTAAAATCTTGAAACCAGGACCTTTCATGTGTTATATGAAAAGTGCAACCTGAGTCCAATATCCACTCATGGACATATCTGTTGTGAGCATAATTTGCCACTTCCAGATCAGGTTGCTAAGCCACCACATATACATCAACTGTATTGGGTTCAACAGGCTCAACAACATTTCCCTCATCAACTTTCTTTTCTTTAAGTTCTATTTTCTTGTTATGGCAATCTTTTATGTAGTGTCCAAGTTTACCACAACCATAACATTTCCTGTTATTTCTTGATTTTGATTTAGATCTTGATTTACTCCTGAATTTCTTTCTGTTACTGTTTCCTGAATGATTTTGATTTGGATAGTTATTATATTGCCTATTTTGTTGTCTTCCCCTCATAAACAAAATCTCAGATTTCTTCCCTTGTCTTTCAGTTTTAAGTTCCAATTCTTTACTTCTTATAGAGTTTATAACAACTTCAGAAGTCAAAGTATCTCAGCCATACTTAATGGCAGATTTGACATCCCTATATGCCTCCGGTATGGCATTAAGAAGTATTACTGCTTTATATTCTTCAAAAATTTTATCCCCTGTATTAGTGGTATCTTGTACCAATTTATTGAAGGTATTAAGATTATCATCTAGGTCTTTGGTTGGATCAATTTTAAAACTAAAAAACCTTTCTAGAAGGAAGAGTTTATTAGGTAAGGACTTTACTAAATACAGCTCCTCTAATTTCTCCCATAGAGCCTGAGCATTTTCTAATTTTCCTACTTTTCTTAACACTTGGTCAGATAGGTGTAGGATGATTGAGGTATAAGCTAAATCATCTGATTCAGTTTTCTGTTCTTGTGTCATTGTTTCAGGAAACTCTCCAGTTATTGCCTTAGACACTTTCCATTGTACTAAAACCCCTCTCATTTTTTGTTGCCATATAGGAAAATCTCCCTTCCCATTAAAGACCCCAAGTTCAAAGCTAGTGGTGGTCATTTTATAGATCAAATAGCTAACACTTAGAATAAGACTGTTTTGATCACAACAAGGCAGATAAGAGGCAGAGATTTTTACTATTACAGGCAAGACAGCAAAATATGTGTAAGTGCGGAAATAACAACTTTAACATACACACTATCCAGTACAAAGCTTAAAGATCAACTACCCAGCCCTACCAGGATTCCGTGAGACTCAAGATCTCAGGTCAAGGCTTGGATGGAGGGTTGAGGTTTTTTGTTAAAGAAAAAATTTGAGAGGTATTAATACAAAAAACCGAGAACAAAGATAATCACAAGCATTGTTATAATATTTAAGTATAACAAGAATTAGAGACAAAATTTTCAAGTATACTTCAATACTAATTAATAGACAAGTATAGGCAGATTATAACTAATCACACAATTCCAAATGCAAAATCAATTTAGAAAAAATCATTATTAGTCAATTAGGACATGTAACAAAAAAGATCAGACAGTAAAAAAAAATTTTGGTTGGGGGTCAGAGAATTAAACCACAATGGTGGTCGTTTCACTTGACCACCACAGATTTCACGAAGCCGACAGTCTACTATACTCAAGATCGTACTACTCCAGTCACAGATCTACAGTATCTCGCAAGAACGTAGTTCGATTCACCCACACGAGCCAACCGAAGGCTCTGATACCATTGTTACACAAAGATGTAAGTACAAAAATGTAAAACAATCAAGAATGAGTTACAAGAAAATATTCCAAATCATAATTTGTTCTGCAGCTAGTAGAAAAACTCAAAACCAAAAGGCATCAGATGGAGATCCTTTTAGTTTAGGGCTCAGACTCATGAAAAACACAGGATTGTACCCGTCTGTTTGACCCACTCGATCCCTTCAACCCTAAGGTTTTCCTCTATCAGTTTAAAGGAAACCACAAGGGTAAAATCACACACCAAACCCTTACCAATCTCTTAGTATTCGGTTTCACAAAGAAGTTTCACTCAGAAAATGAATCCAATCAGAGATTGGATGTTCACGAAGAAGAAGTAGGGTTTTGGAAGGCTCTCGAATCTCAGGCAGCTGCTCAAGGAAAAGAAAAAATGACGTTCCAATTGATTAGGGCAAGGGGTGAGTTTTATTTATACCCACAAAAGGCAGCCGTTGATCAAAGTTTCATCCAACGGTCAGGGACTCCCAAGAGAAACTGAAGAAAGCGTGTTTCTGGCTGCATTAAAAACGCCACGCCATAGAAACACGCTTTTAAACCTATTTTGGGCCAGGGTGGATCGGGTCAAGTTATTGGGCAAGAGCCTAGTAATTTGTAAAACCAGTAATTTGGGCTTTAGCCCATTTTTGTCATCACATCCCATAAAAAAAGACCATTGAGCATCACAGCCCAACAGTATATCCAAAACACAAGTGCATACATCCTTGTATGTATATATCTATATAATTTTGGCCTTCTATTGACCTTTTTTTGCATCAAACCAATTTTATTTTCTTCTCCAGTCAATTGGGCCTCGAAATAGGTACTCGTGAAGGAGATGGACTGTAGCACCAATTTTTGTTGTGTTGGCATGATTTCTAGAATATCGAAATGGCTCGAAACAAGGTAAACTATCAGTCTTTGATTTTCCACATTCAACTATCAAATAACATCATTTTTATAGGGTCAATTGTGTAAGCTATTACATTATCATTTAGTTTTTTATTATTTTTTTCTGAATTTTGGCTACTCAAATTTTTATTCTTTGATTCACGGCTAGCCTTGAGTTGTTCTCTATATATGTTGTATTGGATGTATATCGTTATTACGTTGTGTTGTTGAAATGCAAAATTAGAAATAAATGTAAAATCAAGAATTTGGGTTGGGTTTTAGGTGATTAAGTTCAAAAAATGGTAATCAAAGTAAATTTATTACATTATTTAGCTTTTAGAAAAATTAGGTGGAGTTTTTCTATGGTATAGTCCCCTTCCCTGATAGTATTTTTTTAACTCAACAGGAGGGTTTAGTTTTGATGCTTCATGTTGGTCGAACAATGCAAGCTGTGCTGCAAGAAGTCGAAAAGGTTTGTTTTATGTTAGTGCAAAAGAATGTCTGTTAATTAGTTTTTTATTTGAATTTCTTTTTGCCATCAACTTCTCTGTTCAATGTATTGTGAATTTTGGCATTGTTGTACTTAATCTAAACTTCTAATATCTCTTTTTGCGTTTACCCGGATGATATTCAGTAAGAATGATGAATTAGGACTTGTATTTGGTACCAAGGTATTTTTGAGTGTCTGAATTAGTGTGATGCAAGATGAGGAATTATATTATTTTATGGCCAAATCTTTGCTCACTCTTTATTGTAGTTGTTGAGTTTTAATTCTCAAGATAGGAGTCCTAATTGTTACTTGTACCTTTACTTCATCCAACTAGAATCATGAAAATGTTCATATTTGATTTGATTATTTTTTCTTTTTTAGTTTATCAAAACTAAATGTTGAACCTTATAGTTGTATCTTCATTTCATTTGCTTCTAATATGGAAATCAAGAAAACAGCATTTCCCACATTGTAGAATAAAACCTTTTACGTTCACGAATGTTGCTTCTTTAGAACTTCTAATTAGCATGAAAACAACAGTCTTTTAAATTTTTCCTTCTAATATTTCAATTAAATATTCTCAATTGATTGAGATTGACTGCACTTCCCTATAACAAATACCTATAGTCTGCTATTATTTTGGCTAATATTTTATTCTTTCTACCGTTAACTAAATTTTGAAATTATTTCATTTTTGTTCAGTTAGATGCCTTTGAAAAAATTCCTCTCTTTCTTTTACTATTAATCTTTATTCTCACCACATTAACAATTTAAGTGACCTCTATAAATGTGGTGTATCTTTCTGAAATCATTCCAAGTCTGAAATGCTCAATCTTCACTAACTTGTTATTAACTAAATGATTTATTATATGATCAACACTTGGTTTAGTTTCTTTAGGTTTTCCATCAAGATTTCCTTAACGCTTATTTCCTTTGTATGATAATTTTTTAAAAACTTCTTTTATACCACTTTCAGCTCCTTGATAAATGCAAGTTTATTGCTCTTATTCGGACCATTAAACTTAAATATTTGCGAGTTTTATTAGCGATTTATGACTTAATTTTCTTATTTTTATTTTGTAGGTGAAAACTCGAGATTAAACGATGAATTGAGGGAATTTATGCGAGAAACGAGCTAAAGATGAAGGCAAACGAAGAAGACAACCAAAGATGCCGTAGAAAGAAGATTCAAAAAAAAATTATAAATAAATAAATTTCAGCGAGCTGGACGTCGTGGCGCCCAGGTGCCACTATTCCAGCGCCTAGGCACCACCCGGGCTGTTTTTAATTGTTTTCAAAGTTCCAGGGACCAATGCTGCAATTTCCTTTAGGTTTTAGGTTAAAACATTCAACCAAATACAAGATTTTTCATTCTTGAACTTGAGGGGTAACTGGTTCTTCTTCTTCTTCTTGTTTTCTTTCTTTTTCCTTTCACCTTTATTTTCTAAGATATTTTGGGGAAGATTGGAATATGAAGATGATGATGCATTGATATTGAAGGATTTTCAACCATTTTTCTCTTTATCAATAAGTTTTTCTTTTCACTTTTTCTATCAATGTTTTGTAAGAAATTGTTAGTTATTTGTGGATATTTCATGGGTACCTAATTATATTTTGTGATTGGGGATTATTTAAAACCCGAGTTATAATTTTCAATTAATTTGTACTTTATAATTCTCTTGATTAATGTGTTTAATCCATTGTGTTAAATATTTATTTTGTTCTTCTTGATTGTTTAGGTATACAACTAAATGGTTAAATTGTTTCAATAATGCTATTTTGGAATTGGTAGTACGTAATAGCTATTGATTCTAAAACCTAGTAGCAATTACATTTCAATAGATTATGAAGAATTTTCAATTGAATGTATGTGGATTAACACTTAAGTTTGTAAACCGAGCTTGCGAGTTAACCCTTAATTCAATTCATATCTTTTGTCGTAATGCGTTTGTTAAATTAAATTTAGATAGCTTGTTCTAGATTGTTTAATGAATAGGGTTGGGTAAAGAGCTTGTTTTATTCGACTAACATGTAAGAAGAAATTGAGGTAATTGAGCTTGTAATTATTTTCAAATTGTTGTTAATCTTGAGAACGAAAATCTATTGTTGTAATTGACATGAAAATCATTCTCGTGGTGAAGAAATATCCCCCAATCACATTTTCTCGCGTTCAATCAAGAACCACTTTGTTTATTTCAGATTTCAAATCTTTTCTAGTTTAAATTTATCGCTTTCGCTTTCCTTAGTTCAACAAACCAAATCTCCTCATTTAATCTATTTCGTCTATTATTATTAATTTTACTTTTTAGTGCACAATTGATATAATTGAATCAATCCTATGTAGGAAATGAACCTTGCCATATTACTATATAAAATGACACATTTAAGTTAAGGAAAATTAATTGGAACGTGATATGCGACATATCATTCCCGTAGGAAATAGGAACAAGATCCATTGTTCTGCCCCAAAGGGATCTTCAAGTTCAGAATGTCAATATCATAGTTAGGGATGTCAAACGGGCCGAGCGGCTCATCAGCTCGGTCGCTCGGCTTGTCAAAATTCCGCTCGTGGGCGGCTATTTGATGAGCCCAAGCCCAAGCCGAGCAGGGGGCTCAATCTCACGAGCCGTGGGCTCATAAAAAAATATGAAAATTTTATAAAGAAAAGGTGCAAAAATGTGCAAAAAAAATAATAAAAAAATAACGAGCTCGCGGGCTGGGCTCGGGCCTAGAGCTCGTGGCTCGTGAGCTCACAAGCTCGTGGGCCGAGTCGAGCTCGAGCTCAGCTCGTCTTTCACGAGCCCGAACCGATCTCGTGGGTTAAAGGATCGACCCGACTTGACCCATTGCCATCCCTAATCATAGTTCCATATATTAACACATTTGATGTGGAAGCTTCCAATGACACAACATTTTTTATTGAAATGTTTGAGGTACTTAATCTTTGTAAAGTGCTAAACTGGGTTTATGAGGTTTGAGATTGTTGGCATGGCTAATCAACTTGTTTTATTATTTGAAAAATAGCATGTGAAAAACTATCGAGACCTTCTTAAGAAGATATTCAGGTGGATGGAACCAGATGGTCTTCTATTTGTCCATTATTTCTGCCATAAAACATTTGCTTACCACTTCGAGATAATCTTTTCCATCATTTAAAATTCCAAGTTGAAGGGCATTAGATATTGTTAATTCCTATAAACATTTGCTACTGAATTGTTTTCATCAAAGTTTAAACAAAATAATATTAAATAATCATATTCATAAATCTTCTGCAGGATGTCAACGAAGACGATTGGATTACTTAATACTTCTTCCATGGAAGCACGATGCCATCTGCAAACTTACTCCTTTTATTTTCAGGTGAGCTTACCACAGACCTGTTCTTGAGAATGACATCATATTATATTTTCTTTTCTAATTTCTTTCTTCTATTTCCTTTTTTAAGTTTCTCTCTCCAATGATTGGTCTTCTTGTGTCATGCTAAAAGCCATTTCAAAAGCATTCTATGATCTAGAATTATATGGAAGAGCAAGTGTTCTTAGTCCTCCTGAATGTCAACTTTCTCATCGATGGTCATTTTACTGGGTGCTGTACATGGTATTGCAGAATCATTGTTCAAAAGGTACACTGAAAATGAC